AACATCAAAAACCCAATGCTTTTTCACAAAAATGCTTTGGGGTGTCCTGTCAGACCGTCGGGCTTCCTCCGGCCACCTCTGGTTTCCTGCGGTGTACCGGGCCATTCTCGACTCGTCTGGCAATGCGTGCGCGGCATTCAACACGCGCTCGCCAGTTCCGTCGGCAACCGCCATCGCGGCCGCATCAGCTGTACCAAACCGGCTGGCCGGTGTGACTTCGGCCCCCAGTTGTGCCAGCTTTGCTTCTTATGTTGTGGGAGGGCGGGTGGGACTGGGCATGCCATGCTTGACTCGCTCGAGCTGGCTAGCTTGACTCCTACTTCTACTTCTACTCCTACTCCTATTACTCCTACTCCTACTCCTACTCCTACTCCTACTCCACTCCTATTCTCTCCTCCTCCTCCTCATCATCATCATCATCATCAGCATAATCCTCATCACCATCGCCACCGTCATCACAAACATCATCATCAGCACCATCAACATCAACTCCATCGTTATCAACATACTTATTATCCTAATCCTCATCCTCATCCTCCTCATCCTGTTCCTCCTCCTCCTCCTTCTCGTTCTCCTCCTTCTTCCTCTCCCTCCTCCTCACGTGCCTCCCGCTTTTACCTTCCCCTCCCCTCGCACCGCCGCCCAAGACTTGGGGGGGGGGTAGCGCACGCACGGGGCCCCTGCGCGCGCGCCCGCCCGCCGGCGCCCGCGGCCGCGCAGGTGCCCGTGCCCGTGACCCAGGAGGCTCGGCGGCGGCGCTCGCCGCGGGCCCCGCACGACCACGACGACGACGACGCCGACGACGACGACGACGCCGACGCCGCCGCCGACGCCGACGCCGACGCCGACGACGCTGACGCCGACGCCGACACCGACACCGATGCCGCCGCTGCCGACCACGGCCGTCGCCGGCGCCGACGGCGGCGTAAGCGCCGGCGTCGGCGGCGCCAGCGCTCCGAGACGGCGGCTGCGCCCCGCGGCGGCGGCGGCGCAAGAGGCGGCTGCCACGGCCTATGCAGGGCTCATTTCGATTCCTCCGATCCGATTCGATTCGATGGCGATGGCTTCGATACCGATTCCGATTCGGTCTTGGATTCCGATATGTATTCTGATGTTTCGACAGAGGCCCTATTAGCCATTAGCCTGCCGATTCCTGCTGATTCGGCTTCTCCCGAGTCGGCTGCCGATTTCCGCTGATCCGATTCGTTTCGATCGCCGATCCGACTTATCGAATATCGATTCGATTCTGGGCTCTTTCGCCTGCGCGCCTACGCCGACCTTTCAGGATGCAACTCCTGGGGGGTTAATTCAGCATCGGCGCGAATCTGATTGTTTTGAAAACGCTGGCCTACTCCGCAAGAGTCTGAGTGAATTCCGTTAATCCCGTCGACTCCAGTTTATCGGGTTTCTCATTGGGCTTAGTCCGGCTTAGTGACCCCCTCTGTCGGGCTCTCAATGACCTTAATCATTCTTATGAAGACCTTCCAGGAGTTGCCTCCTGAGATCTTGGCCATGCCTATCCTTCGAGGAGAACAAGGCACCCGTACTGCTACCCTTCTCGCGTTTTCGCTCCCGGGGGGGGTCTCACGGGAGGCCTTCGTCGCATTGGCTGGATTCGGAGGGGGCTAGGACGGGGGTAAACCCGTTTCAGTGAGTTCTGGAAGGCTATCCGGGGCTTGCGGAACGCTCTGAGAAGGCTGCGGCGCCCGAAACATGCTCCAGAGGCGCCGGATCTCAGGGAGTCTCGACTCGTCCTCACCCGAGCTGCTCCTCGTCCTGCTCTCGTCTCGCCTCGTCGCCGCGGTCGGTTCCGCTTCGAGATCTCGGTCATAATTATGGGCTTGTTTCCCACCATCACCACCACCACCATCAGTTTGGGGGGGGGCAGAAGGAGGAGGAAGAGGATAAGGAGGAGGAGGAGGAGGAGGAGGAGGAGGAGGAGGAGGAGGGGGAGGAGGAGGAGGAGGAGGAGGAGGAGGAGGAGGAGGAGGAGGAGAGGAGGGGGAGGAGGAGGAGGGGAGGAGGAGGAGGAGGAGGAGGAGGAGGAGGAGGAGGAGGGGGGAGGGAGGAGAGGAGGAGGAGGAGGAGGAGGAGGAGGAGAGGAGCAGGAGCGAGCAACAGGACAGGAGCAGGAGCAGGAGAGGAGGGGAGGAGGTAGGAGGAGGAGGAGGAGGAGGGAGGAGGAGGAAGGAGGAGGAGGAGGAGGAGGAGGAGAGAGGGAGGAGGAGGAGATGGAGGAGGAGGAGGAGGAGGAGGAGGAGGAGGAGGACCCCCTCCCCCTCCAACTTATGGTGGTGGTGGTGGAAAACAGGCCCATCACATAACGCGCCCGTGGGGACTGCTGGGCCTCGGTGCCGTGGTCGCCCCCTCGGGGCCCGGGCCACGCGCCGCCCCGCCCAGGCTGGGAGGGCGCAGGGCGCCAGCCCTGGGCCTCAGGGTCAGGTCGGGCACGCCCCTCTGCAGTTATCGGGGGTGGACAGAACCCCCAACAGTGACACGTCGATTCGTGAATTGTCCGTTTTCGGTTCTCGAGAGGGCGCCGTGGCCGCTATTTTCCAGGCGTGCGCCCGCCAGGTTTGGGCCTCAGGTCGTTTTCACTAAACCACGTTTTACTAAAGGGGGGTCTGTCCATCCCCGAAGTTATGATGCTCCAACCTACTTTAGCCTTGCTCACCAGGAAGAACTTCGAGCGCCCCCCTAAAAAGTACCGAAACTCGACTTTTTTCACGCGTCGGGCCCTGGGAGGCACGGTTTCGACACTGTCCCGACACTCTTTTGACCTTTTTCCGGGTGCTCGAAATTATTTCTGGGATGCGGCCCTTAAGTAGGATGCGAACAACATAACTCTACAGGAGGGATATCAAACAATTGTAAAAAAATAGTTTGGGGACGATTTTTCTAGTTTTTGTTGATTTTTGATGTGATGGTTTGGTTTTGCGTATCTTTGATGTTTCGTCCAAAATCCGCCTGTAGGGGGACAGGCCCGACCTGACCCTGGGCCCAGGATGAGCCTGACAAGGGCCGGTGTAGATGGTGCACGAGTTTGTCATCGCCGTCGCCGCCGCCGTCGTCGGCCTCCTCCTCCCTGTCTCTCCCCGAGAGCTTGGTACTGGTGGCGCCCAGACCTGGACCCGGGATGGGCCCGACCAGGATCGGTGCAGACGGTGCCCTCCCCCCCCTCGTCGGCCCTGCGCAGAGGGGGGTCGGGGGAGTGGGGAAGGCTCCTAGGAAGCACCCCTGCTTCTGAGAATCGGGGCGATCGAGATGGGCACGGAAAGAGTGGGTACAAAGGCCGAATCTTGAACAGGACTCGCTGTCGGCGTCGGCGCGCACTGTTCCACTGGAGACAGATGGCCGCCAGCCCAAGAGCGGCCGCTTTCGGTTCTGTAGCGACTGGCACCTGGCTGCCACCCAGCGGGGGTATCTAACATGTCGTCGTCTGGACGCCCTCGGCGTGTGGGCCCACAAGAGCCACACACACACACATTCACTGAAAAGTCAACGCCAGGCGCGTAATTAGCAGCCTGGCACAGACTCTTCGGCTACTGATGTTCTGGATTTCTTTCGGAGGTATCTAACATGGTAGTCCCGTGCTGGAGCCACGTATATCTGACATAGTTGCCCCGAGCTGGGGCCGCGCTCGCGGTGGTCGCGGTCTGCCGTCATTGTCGTCGGCGGTTCGGCCCCGCCACTTCCTGATGCATTTCGCCTCGGATTGGACTCGCCCTTATCATTTCGCCTTGTTTCGGAGCATAATCCTTTCAGATGGTTTCGATTGCAATCAGCTCTGGGCGAGCACTTCTCCCAGGCAGCTCGAGCTTGATGCCCAGCTCAGTTCTGTCAGGATTCGGATTCCAGGGAAGATTTGATTCACGACGCAACAGTGCACAGAACTGATTGGATTCGCCTCGTTTCGGATCGTCCCGCTTTCGATCTGAATCGGATCTTGAGCTCGAGCTGGTCGGGCGCCTCGCGCGTTTCGATTGTGGCGGCATCTGAGTTATGTGACCAGACAGCAGCTCGAGCCTTAGATCCAGATCAGTGCGATCGGGATTCTGACGCCACGGTCGACCTGATCCACGATGCAATAGAGCACAACAGCACTTCAGCGCAGCATGGCGCGTTTCAGTTAATCACAGCACAGAACAGCCCCTGGCACTCTACATCACCATCGCTACCTTCAGTCTTACAATTGCCCGTCGCTGAAATTCGGTGTTTTGAAACATTGTCATGCTTCACATGTCGACCTCTCTTTCCGGATTTGTGGGTCGATCATGTCGTTACCCATAGTTACGTGGCACCATCCACGGGGTGCGGCGTCGGTTGCGCCACCCGTGATCCGCGCCATTGGTCGCGCCGAAGGCTGTTTGCTCCATGGGTTGCGCCGCCGCGTCACAGGTTATGCAGTCGGCGGCCCAATATACAACGGCCTCCTATTCGTTGCGTTTTGGGATGCACGCCTGGCGGCCAGGAATCGAGACGGCATGTTGTCCGTTGCGCCACGGGTTGCGCACCCGACGGCGGAAAGTTAAACGAACGACCACACGTGGCTCTAACAGGCCAGCCAGCCAGGTCGGCCTACTTCGCGAACACCTGGTGCCATGACACACGCCAGAGGTCGGCGTAGGGAAGCTCCCTCCTCACCTATCCCCGGGTCGTCCAGACGGTGTGGGGGACAGGGCACGGGGTGGTACGACATTTGCGGAGTGCAGGTGGCCGGGTGGCGCCGAGAGGCGCCAGTGCATCGAGGAAAGGCTGCGCCCGCCCCCCCAGCTGCGCGAGCCGATCCGCCGCCCTCCCCCCCCCATTTGCGCCCACCCCCTCCGCGTCCGATCCGGTCTGCGCTCGCCCTCCTGCGAGCAGAAGAGGCCAGAGCAGGACTCGCCGCGCAGTGGCGAGCGGGCAGAGGGTTCGGCTCGGCATGGCGCCTGGAGCCCGCACTCCGTCGTCCGCGGAGGTGCGTTGTGCCGACGGGGGCGTGGCACAGACGTCCGCCCCAGGAGATCATCCAGGTGCCGCACGTCACCCAGCACATGAGGGAGCGCCACGTGCATGTCGAGGCCGGCCCGCCTCGGGCCCCCTCTTGCCCCCACGCCCCTCGCTTCGGGGGCTGCTAGAGGTGCCCCCGGCCCGAGGTGCCCCCAACTTTGCGCTCGAGCCTGAAGCCCCCTTTGGGGCCCTCTGGGCCTCGCGAGGGGTGCTCTGGAGGCCGCGGGGGCCGCCTTGGATCGCCTGGGGCGCTTCTAGCAACACCCGAGCACTTCTAGCAACATCCAATCGTTCTGCCCCCTGCTCCTCAGCGCCCTTTTCGAGGAAGGGACGGGAAGGCGGCAGGAGGGAGGGAGGGAGGGAGGGAGGGAGGGAGGGGGAGGGAGGGAGGAGGAGGAAGAGGAGGAGGGAGGTGAGGGAGGAGGAGGAGGAGGAGGAGGAGGAGGAGGAGGAGGAGGGGAGGAGGAGGGGGAGGGAGGAGGAGGAGGAGCAGGAGGAGGAGGAGGAGGAGGAGGAGGAGGAGGAGGAGGGGGAGCAGGAGGGATGAGGGATGGAGGCAGGGAGGAGGGAAGGGGGAGGAGGGCTGCGAGGGAGGGAAGAGGAGGCATGGAGGAGAGAGGGGTCTGGAGGGATGGAGGAGCGGAGTGGGGGAGGGGGAGGAGCCACTCCCGCGCCCGCACAGCCTGCCGCTGGCACACACAGGCGCCATTAGCCTCACTTCTCCCTCCTCCCCGGCTCACCACTCTTCTTCTCCTTGCTATGTTTCTTCACCTCTTGGTTTTTCCGACCCTCCCCCTGGCGTTGGCCTGTGGGAGGGTCGAGGGCACCAACGGTAGGAGCAAAACTGTCCGCGGCCACGCACCACGAGGAGGAGCGGCAGGAGCAGGAACAGGAACAAAGCAGGGGAGGAGGAAGAAGGAGACCAGGTGCAGGAGGTGGAGGTCGAGGCGGAGGAGGAGGAGAAGGAGGAGGAGAAGGAGGTCGAGGAGGAGCAGGTCGAGGAGGAGGAGGAGGAGGAGGAGGAGGTTGAGGAGGAGGAGGTCGAGGAAGAGGAGGAGGAGGAGGAGGAGAATGAAGAGGAGGGGGAGGAGGAGGAGGAGGAGGTCAAGGAGGTGGAGGAGGAGGATGAGGAGCAAGAGGAGGAGCCGGAGCAGGAGCAGGAGGGGGGAGGGAGCGGGAGCGGGAGCAGTAGCAAGAGCAAGAGGGGGAGGGGGAGGGGGAAAAAGAGAGAGAGAGAGAGAGAGCGAGGGAGAGAGGGAAAGAGAGAGAGAGAGAGCGAGTTTTTCGGTCAGGAGCCCTTGGGCCCCGCAGGGGGCGCCCCCGCGGCCACGGCTGGGTCCGTTTCGCCCTGTCGATTGGTCAGGAAAGGGCCCCAGTGGAGGTCCGCGGGTCGATTCTGATGGGGGTGAGTCCCATATACCGCTCCACGACTCGCGGGCGGGCGGGCCCCGGGCCGCGCTGCAGGTGACGCAGGACGTGCCGGTGGAGCAGCTCGTCGAGGCGGGGCGGGGAGGGCCCATCGGCACGAACGAGATGGGCACGGAAAGAAACAGTGCAGTGCCCAAGTGAGGGGAGGGCGTCATGGCGGGTGGGCCTCGGCATGCGGTGGGAGGATAGATTCGGACCCCCCAGGGCCAGGATATTTCCCGGGTGTAGCCAGGACCCCGGGTAAGGGGACCCGGTTTATTGGTAGGGCCCTGGGGCCCCTCAATTGGCCAGAGTAACTAAACCAGGTTTGCCGTATTTGGTGTTTTTCGGGTGACGGCAGTTCCGGTTAGTGGAAATGGGACGGGGGGGCGCCCCCGGCAAAAATCATTAAACCAGGTTCCACTAAACCCAGTTCTGCCAACGCCCGAAATTCAGTGTATCCACCGCCTGGTGGGGTCCCCATAGACGTCGGTTCCCCCGGCGGTGGGTCTGGACATATGCCCGCCCCTCCGGAGGGGGCGAGGGTCGAGGCTCGGGGGGGCTGTTTTCATGGGAAAGTGTTTCTTCCCGTGCGTGGGGACTGCTGTGCAATCGGCTGGCAAGTAACGCTACCCACGGCCTGTGCGGCTTCAGGCGCCTCGGGGACAGATGCACGGCGTGAAATCGACCAGCTAGCGAGAATCACTGCATCTTCGCCGCACTTCGGATGCTTACCCTTAAGGTATCGCCTCCGCACGGCTGGGTCCGCCTCGAGGCTTCTTCTGGCCATGGGCGCGTTCAGGGCGGGGAGGGCGGGGGAGGAGGGGTCGAGGATCATAGCTCTGGAGCTTACTCTGCGGGGTCAATATTTTTTTGGGGGGGCCCGGGCCCCCTTCTTGGTACGGCTCGCGCGGGCTCGGCTCGGGCGCGTCCCGGGCCAGACTCGGAGGCAGGTTGTCGCGAGAGGGGCCTCATGCAATCCCACGCGTCGCGACCACAAACGCGACGAAGGGTTTTATGACAGATGGCGGCCTCCGGGGGCCCTTGCGGACGGCCTTACTTTAAAACCGGGCACCGGGCAGGCAGGGAACGGGGAATCAGGAACGGGGAACCGGGAACAGGGAACCGGGAAGGGAGCGTGGCTCCCGTGTGGTCACCAGTGCAGCGCGGCCCCAGGAGCGCGAGGCCAGTGCTACTCAGGAGGGGTCCCAGGCCTGGGAGCGCGGGCGCAGCGTAATTTTTACACGGGATCGTGACCCTCTGGCGCGTTCCCTCACACGTTCCAAGGCGCCTCTCCTGGCCACGTCGCCTGGCACGTCCGCCATCACGCTCCTTGGCGCGTCTCCCTGGCGCGTTCCGTAGCGCGCCCCGTGGCGCGTCCCCCTGGCACAGAGCGCGGCGAGTCCCTCGGCTTGCCCCCTGGCGCGTCCCCTGGCGCGTCCTCTGGCATGTCACTCAATAGCTCAGCACAGCCCTCTGGCACAGTAGGATCACCATGGATGCCTGGCACGTTCCCTGGCGTCTCCCCTGGGCACGTCGCGCGGTGCGTCCCCTGGCACGTCCCCTGGCACGTCCCCTGGCACGTCCCCTGGCACGTCCCCGGGCATATCCGCTGGCACGTCCCCTGGCGCGTTTTCCTGGCACGTTCCGTGGCGCGTCCCCCTGGCACATAGCTCGGCTAGTGCCTTGGTACGTCCACTGGCACGCTCCGTGGCGCGTCCCCTGGCAGGTCACTCTGTACGGCGCGGCACACCCCTCCCCCGAGCAGGGGAAGGAGAGGCTGTTGGAAGATAGAAGACAAAGTTCGTTAAACCACCTACGCCGAGAGGGCTGGTGGTTTTTACCATGGATCGTAGCCCTGGGAGCGCGGATGCTTCATAATTCACTAGGGTTGTTCACCCTTGAAGCGCGGACGCATCGTAATCTACAAAGGGTCGTGGCCCTGGAGGGGCGGACACAGCGTAACGTCATTAACCATGGATTTCAGCACTGGGAGCGCGGACGCCGCGTAATTCTTAAGGGATCGTGGTCCTGCGAGCGTGGACGCAACGCAATTGACAAGGGTTTGCCCCTTCGGGTCCAGCGCAGAATTTTACGGCGGGGGGGGGTCGAAACGCGCCACCCGAATACACTGACAAATCAAATCTTGTGTTCTGCTCTGGAGAGGGGGGGGCTCTCATGGGTAACCTCCGCGGAATGCTTTGTGGCCCTGGGAGCGCACGCAGCTTATATGACAATGTATCTTAGCCTTGGGAGCGCGGACGCAGCATAATTCCCGATGGATCGGGACCCTCGGGCGCGTTCCCTGGCAGGTTCCCTGGCGCCTCCCCTGGGCACGTCGCGTGGCGCGTCCCCTGGCCCGGTTCTTGGCACGTGCCGTGGCGCGTCCCCCCGCCGCATAGCGCGGCGAGCCCCTTGGCGCGTGCCCCCCGTGGCGCGTCCTTTGGTATGTCACTGGTGTGACGCTCCTTTGGATCGTTGCTTTTCCTCCCTGGCGTCACGCTCGTTTTCCGCCCCCCCCCCCCCCCGGGCAACGCCAACGATCCTGGGCGGGGAGGTCTGGAGACCCCCCCCCGTGCGTGCCAGGGGTCGGACTGTGCTTACAGGCACGGCAGCGGTGCTGACAGGCATGCTCTGCTGCTCACAAGCGTGCTGTGGCGCTCGCAGGCTCCCCACCTGCTGCGGCGCCGAGCTCGTAGGCATGGCTCAGGGGCAACGACAGGGGGGGATAGGCATCGGGGGGGATGCATCGGCCTCCAATGGCCCATTGATCGCCGATAGGTATCCGATAGCCACAACCTGCCCAGGAAGGTGCGGATTCATAATCGGCGGCCAATTACCGATCTATCGGCGATGTATCGCCGATTCCAGGTCGGTGTTTCCCCCCCTATCCCCATCCCCCCCTATCGTTGCTCCTCAATGGCGTGACGCCGAAAGTTACGTTTCGGTTTCACAAGCGTGTTGTGCGCATTGTGGCGCTTTGCAGGCTATTGCAGTGCGCATGGGTCAGGCGGGCTCACTGCCAAGATGCCCTGTACCCGCGCATGGCACGCGATGCACCCTGTTCGGTGTTACCAATGTCGGCAACAGTGCAAGCATTGCGCGGAGAGCACGAGCGCCTGAATGCAAGCGTTGTTTGGGAATTCCACGGCGCTGGAGCTTTTGACCCCATCGTGGGGCTCCTGCTATTCCTCCTGGTGCTGCTCCTCTTGCTCATGCTGCTGCTCCTCCCCCCCTCTCCGTATTCCCTTCCCTCAACGAAGGCCGCCAGGACCGTTGAAAGAGTACAGGAAGAGGACATGGAGGAGGAGGTGCAGGAAGAGGAAGAGGAAGAGGAAAATAATGACGAGTCCTGAAGGCTTTGATGCTCTTAGCCCACATAAGAAGATAGGAACTTCGATTCGCAATTTCCCCCCGCGATGAGAAAGTTCGGCCTTGCCGCCTCTCTCCCCCGACCAGATTTTCATTGGCCGGGGGTTCAATGGTGAAGGGGGGTCTGCTTTATTATTCGGGCGGTACGGTTACCTGAGGGAGAAGAAACGCTCACTTGTGCGGCGCGGCACAGCGCAGAGAAGCACAACACAGCCCCTGGCACGTTCCCTGGCGCCTCCCCTGGGCACGTCGCGCGGCGCGTCCCCTGGCACGTCCCCCGGCACATCCTCGGGCACGTCCCCCTGAAACGTTCCCTGGCCCGTCCCCATAGCGCGGCGAGTCGCCTGACACGTCCCCTGGCACGCTCTGTGGCGCGTTCCCTTGCACGCCATTGTACGGCGCGGCACACCGCCGAGTAGCGCAACACCGACCCTAGCACAGTAGCACCGGCATTGATACCTGCTGCGTTTCATGGCGCCCCCCTTGGGCACGTCGCGCGGTGCGACTCCTGGCACGTTCCTTGGTACGTCCCCTAGCAGGTCCGCTGGCACGTTCCGTGGCGTGTCCCCTGGGCACGTCGCGCGGCGCGCTGGCACGTCCCTCGGCACGGCCACTGGCACGTTCAGTGGCGCGTTTCTTGGCACGCCTTTGTGCGGCGCGGCACATCGCAGAGCAGCACAACACCGCTCCTGGCACTTTCCCTGGCGCCTCCCCTGGGCACTGTATCATCACCATTGATGTCTTCAGCGCTCCCACTGCCCATCGCCCAACTGAGGTGCGTGGACACGTGATCGTTTCCGATGTTTCGAAGCGGTGTCCTGGCTGCCGCGTGGGCTTCGTTTTCGACTCGGCGCTCTGCTCCGTCGTTCACACTGGCGCTCCCGCCCCAGCGAGGGCCACTTTTCCGGATCCAGGCCCCTTCTCCTCGTCGTCGCCCCCCTCGTTTTCCCCGTTGCCGCCTTCATCCGGTCCTCCTGCGTCTCCCGCGCCTTCCACCCTCGATCCTGCTGCTGTCCTTCCTCGCCCTCCTCCTTTCACGTTGTCCTCGTGTTCCTCGTGCTCATCCTCCTGATCACCCGCCTGCCCCCCCTCCAACTCCGCCCCATCTGCGTGCATGTATGCAGTTCCACTTTTTTCCGATTGCGCACAGAACCATGTTTTTGTGTTCTGGAGTTCCAGGTCGGTTTGACACGCGTCCGCGGATAGCGCAGTGGGAAGGGATGGGAGGGATGGGATGTCAGATGAGGCGCGAGCGCACCTAGCTTGGGTCCCTCTCTCTTCCCGCCTTCCCTCGTCTCCCTTCTCCTGCCCCCCTCCCCTCGTCGTCCACATCCCCCTGGCCCTTCTCATGGTTCTCCCTACTCCACTTCCGTGACCTCCTCGCCCTTTCCTCTCGTCCACGTTCTCCCCCGCTTCCTCTCCCTCTTCTGCCTTTCCTCCGTCCCCCTCCCCCAGTTGCCCTCGTTAGTCAGTGTCCTCCTCTTCGCCTTCCTCTTGGCCTCCTCCTTCTTCCCCTCCGCCTGCTCCGTCCCCTGCTGCTGCCGCGCCTCCCTCCTCTCCCCTCCTCCTGCCTCCCCCCCTTTCCCCTCCCCGTCGCTGCCGTTCTCTCCTCTCCGTACACTCCGGTCCTCCGCACCCCCCCCTCCCCGCGCCCCGTCGCTCTTTTCTCCGCCCCCCCCCCGCTTCCGCCGCCTCGTCGTCTCCCCCATCCCCGCCGCACCCCCGCTTGACCCCTCGTCTCCCCCCCCATATGTTCCTGCCCCTCTTCTCCCCCTCTCCTTCCTCCCCCTTCTTCTCCACCCTCCTTCGTCTCGTGTTCTCCCCCGCCCCCTCTTCTCCTCCCCTTCTCCCCCATTCCCCCCTCCTCTTCTCCCCCCTCAGTCGCCTCGTCTTCTCCCCCCCCGCTCTCCTGCCCCTTGTCCCCCCTGCCCCCGCCGCAAAACGAGGAGATCGTCCACGTCCCGAAGGTCCAGGTGGAGGCGCCCCCTGCGGCGGTGCTGCCGGAGAGAGACGGGGGCTCACGGAGCTGGGGAGGGGGAGAAGGTATATAAAGGGAACGAGGAGGAGAGTTAGGAACCAGATGAGAGAACGAGGAGGAGGAGGGGAAGGAGGATGAGGAAGAGGGAAGGAGGAGGAGGAGGAGGAGGAGGAGGACGAGGGGGAGGAGGAGAAGGAGGAGGAGGAGGAAGAGGAGGAGAGTAAGAAGGGTCACGAGTGAGGCGAGGGGGGCGCATCAGGAGAGCAGGAGGAGGAGGAGGAGGAGAAACAGGAGGAGGAAGAGCAGGCTGATGAGAGGGGGGCAGAGGACCAGGATGGAAAGCAGAATGAATACGAGGAGGACGATGAAGACGAGAAGGACGAGGATGCGGAGGAAGAGGAGGGGAGCTATCAGGAGGGAGGCAGGAGGATCATCCGGATGAGCAGGAGGACGGGGAGGTGGAAGAGTTGCGCGAGCCGCCAGCACGAGGACGGGTGGAGGAGGAGAGGAGGAGGAAAATGACAAGGCGGATTTGAAGGAGGAGGAGGAGGAGGGCGGGGAGAAGTGTGGTGTGCACCCCTCCGGCTAGCACGCGGGGCTTTGCACACCGTACCGGCCCCCTTGCCCCAAGGAGGTATAGCCGGTGCGAACGGGAAGGGCGGGGTGCAGAGTTTTTGTGGGGGCACTATCCTGTAATTTCTTGGCTTGCTCCTGCTCTTGATCCTGTCCCAGACATATGCCGTTGTGTTTTTTGTTTTGTTTTCAAATCTGGTGACCAAGAACTCTGTCTTTGGGCCCTGAAAGTGGCCCCCTGGAGGTCGAATCCAGGTAGATACCCCAGGACTGCGCTATCAACAACTCGCCGGAATGTCTTGGGCCCTCTCCTCTTCCTCGCCAGTCTTGGGATGCAGGTCTTGGGAGGTCAACTTCAGCGTCGGCGCTGGCGCTGGTATATCCGTGGTCGAGCTCGCCCTAATCCAACGCAATCCCGCTTGAACAGGCTTAATCCTGGTCAATCTTTATGAATCCCCAGATTAAGCCAGATTGACTGGTTTTTATCCGACTGAATCAATCCAGCTCAGTCGGCCTTCATCGTTCTTGCGAAGACGTGCCAGGAGTTGCTTCCTGACCGATCGCTCCCTCCCCCCTTCCCTTCCTTCGGTAAAATGCCGTCTCTAGAGTGCGCTAGCATGCGCTGGCGTGCGCTGGCATCTGGTAATCAAAGAGGCATCGCCGATTTAGCGACGACCAGCGTCGACTGGCGTCGGCTAGCGGCGATTCGTGTCAAGATGGCACTGGAGTCGGGGAACAAGCAATAACCTCAGAGGTCCGCGCGGAATCCTCGGATCGGCGCTGGACCCCTCTCTCTGCGCCAGGGGCCCCCAGCGCCGATCCTAGGCATCCACGACGAACCGAGAGTTTTGAGGCTTCGGCCATTTTCTGTTCCCTTCATTGTGGAGGCCACATGCGAACACTACCCCACCACCCCACGATTTAGACGGGGGAGGGGGGTTCACTTCGCTCGGGAGGTCCCGATGTCAACCGCACCTCCACGCTTAGAAATCGTGGGTTGGTGGGATAGGGTTCGCATGTGGCCTCATATGTATATAAATATAAATATATATATATATATATATATAAACATGTATCCGCTGGCCCCCTTCGGGGGCGCAAGGCTGCGAGGGTGTGTGTGGTCTGGTCTGCTGTCATGCGTTATGTGTTGTCATCTGCTGTTTGGCTTTTTGTCTCTCCAGTCCTTTTGTCCCGCTTCCTGTTTGCTGTCTGCTACGGGGCCCCGCCGCGTCGCCAAACAGCCAACGGGGGGGGGGGGAACCTCAAATCCAGGCTGCTCCGGGCCACCCTGGGACTCTCATGGCGACGCCACCGCGCGGCCAGAACGGCCCGAGAGGCCTCCAAGCTTGCCCGACGAGGCTCCGAAGAGCGCCTCAGGAGGCCAAGACGGCCCAAGATGGCCCCAAGATGTCCCACGATGGCCCCAAGACGGCCCAAGATGCTCCCAAGACGGCCCAGGAGGCCTCCAAGAGACCTCCTAAGAGGGCCCCACGAAGCAAAAATCAACGATTGTCCTGACGTTTTCGAGGGTTTTTGGCTTTCTCGCCTTTTCGGCTTTCCGACGCTCCGAGACGGACCAAGAGGTTCCCAAGATCGCCCCACGACGGCCCTAGAAGCCCCCACGACGGCCCAAGAGGCCGCCAAGACGGCCCCAAGACGGCCGAAGAGGGCCCCAAGACGGTCCAAGAGGCGCCATAGACGGCCCAAAAGGGCCCTAAGACGAGCCCAAGAGAAGCCCAAGTGGGAGTCCACGAACCGAAAATTCTGCCTCTCCGCCCCGAGAGGGCCCCAGGAGGCCCCAGGAAGGTCACAGAGGCCCCAAGAGGCCCCCAAGAGGCCCCGAGGGGACCCCCGAGAAGCTCCAAAGAGGCACCAGGGAGACCCCCAAGAGGCCCCAAGGAGACCCCCGCGCAGCCGCCCGCACTAGTAATAGGGGGGCCAGCGGCATAGGGCGAAGCCCGCAGCACGTATACGTTTATTTGTGGAGTATACATATTTGTGTGTGTATCTATATGTGTGTATATATATACATATACATGTATATATATATATATACATATATATTGTGTGTGTGATAAATCCACGGGCATCCTGGTGGCCCTAAACTACCAGGGGGAACGGGCTCGGCCCGCTCATCTACTACGACCTCTGAGGCTGCGCCTTCCCGTGCCGCCTCTCTGTCAGCAAGACAGACTCTTCCGGGTACGAGTGATATCTATATATATATACACATATATATACATATATGATAAGTTCATACAGACATATGAAAACCCCCGGGAACTGCCACAGAACCCTCCGGGCGCTACCAAGGCCTGGGGTCGGACGGGGCCAGGACCAGGATCAGCCCCTTCAAGGGCCTCCGGGAACGGTCCCGGAACGCTCCGAGAAGGCCGCGGCGCCGGAGAGACATCTTTCTCAGAGACTCTCGCAGAGGTTCTCTCTTTCGCTAGATTCTTGATGTCTCGATTCTCATCCTTCTCAGAGATCTCGATGTCGCCAGATTCTCGATTTCTCGATTATCATCCTTCTCCGAGGTCTTCGAATTTTCTAGATTCTCAAGTGCTCTAGATTCTCGATCTCTTCACATGCTCCTTCTAAGGCCGCCGGACCCCCGAGATGCTCGGGCTCTCGCCCTGGCCTCGTCATCAGGGGCGGGGCCGGGCCGCCCAGGAGCGGATCGTGCACAACCCGGTGGAGCTGCGGGTGGAGGTGCCCCGCCCGCAGGCGGGCCGCCCGCGCCGCGCAGAGCGCGAGGGTCGTCGCTCGCGCTGCGGAAGACGATCGCTGTCGGGGAAGCTCAGAGGAGGCGGAGGTGCCCGTGCCTCTGCCCTCGCCTCGTGTTCCCCTTTTGGGCCTCCTGGGCCCCCGTCGTCGCCACCGCTGGATTCGCCTCGAAAGCCCTGTCAGAGCGCACCCCAGGAGAGGTCCGGGGAGTAGCGGTACCGGTATCCTTGGGGTCTCCCCAGAAAAGTAAGACTCGAGTAAGCCGGGACTCGGGTTAGCCGACGTTTTTGGACGAGCGCGTCCTGGATGTTGGCGGTCGGGTTTTCGTGAGATGTTTGCTGAGGGAGCTCGTGTCCAATTCCAGATAGGGTCTCGTCATTTTCATGATGGCCCCGTAAGGCCAACCCGAGTCCCCCGTACCCGAGTCCTACGGCCACCGCGACAATGTAGAGCAGGCATGTTGCCGAGTAGTTCCCAGATGTCTAAAACATGTTCAAGCATGACACTCACGTGATAAAGCATGTTACAAAGGTTTTTCTGTCGATCGTACGCTAGGCATGCAAAAAAACATGTCAAAGACATTGGTCATTTTCAACCATATAACGACTAGAGTGACCATTGTCGTGGCATCAACAACCTTTGCTCGTCGTCCGTCGGGAACCTATGATTTTCGTTCATAGCTGCTTCGGCAGCGAAGCGTGGTCGCCTGACGGCGACGCTGCTCTGGATTCCTTCGCGGGGCCCTCTCGAGAGCCTCTTGGGCTCTGTTTGGGGCCTCTTGGGGGATTTTTTTCAGAAGCTCCGTGGTCACGCGGGGCAGCCGTGGAGCGAGTCTGAAACCTCGTCCGTCGATAGATTGCGCTGTTTATTCTAACTTACAGAAGTAATTCGTTTTTTCCTCCCCCCCGTGCCCCATTGAGATCTTGGCGTCGCCATTTTTTCGAATCGGGCGTTCTCACGAAAGTTCAGGCCCTGGGGCCCTCACATGTGGATCCTGCTTGCGAAATATTGCAGAAAGATATTGTCAGGGGCCCGGGTCACGATCTTACATGATATTGCAGTTGTTTTGCGTCGTCGGATGTCAGGGTCCCTCCCCACTGTTTCTTCGTCGGAGAAGGTCTCCTGCAATTGATCCAAACAGGAGGGCCTTGATGGAACTCTCCTGAAGGCAGGTCAGCAGTGGGATCCCTTAGAGTGAGCTCCGATTGAGGTTCTGGTGTTGCAGCATCGATTACGGGGGCCCCCTACGTACCTTTCCGAATGGCGGGTCAAAGGCGGACTCCCGTATTTGGAGCTCCAAGTGTGGCTCGTAGGTTTGAGTTTCAATTGCGGCTTTTGCATTGCAGCCCCAATTCTCCCAATTACGGGAACCCACCATTGACCTTTCTTGAGGGCCAAGGAGGGTCCCATTTGATTGAATTGCAAGAGGTCTCAACCGGCGATTTGGCAGGATGCCTTCCCCCTCCTCCTTGCGCTCGCAGGCATGCATGCGGTTGCGTTCGCAGGCTATTGCCATTGTGGTGGCCACGCGCTTTGCATGCTGTGCCGCGCGCGCGTATCAGCTAATGTCGACGCGCGCAAGCGCAGTCCACAGGCATATGGCGGCGGCGGCGGTGCCCTCTGGACCTTTCTTTGCCTTCGTAGCGCTTGGTGTTGACAGGCATCTTGTTGGTGTTTTCAGGCGCGCTGCGACGCTTGCAACATGCGGCGCGGCCACGCTGGTGTCTGTCGCACGGTATTTCGTAAGTACGGCCTTGTCGCGGAAATCAAATATTAAAGAGCTTTTCCGCCGCGCGCCATCGTGAACTGGAGGGTTTGTATAGCTGGTCGCAGGTGCACCACCAAGCACGGGTCCAACAGTGATCCCGATGCTTCTGCCAACGCGTCTCACTGATGCACGGCTTCTGACTGACTGGCTGACCAGTCCTCACCTCCCTCTCTGCCGCCCCCGCGCCCCTCGAGCCCCGAGCCTCGGCGTCGGCGCGGCGCGGCCCTGCCGCGCGCGGAGCGGCGCGGCGCGAGGGCCCGTCGGGGGGGGCCGGCGGCGGCGCGAGCGGCGCTGCGGCGGCGCGGCGCTGCGGCAGAGCAGCCCGCGCGGGGGCCGAGCCTTTCAAGCGGTGGCGAAGCGTCCTGGCTCGCGTGTAGCCCCACTGAACAATGGTCTAAGAACCTTTTCCGTGGTTTCCACGGAATGTTCTTCGAACATTTCTGGTTGAGATCGTCTTGTTTTAACACGTCGGGTCTGTGTTCTAAGAGCATTGCTTCTGTTATGAGAACATTTGTGGGCTCTAAGAACATGTCGTGGTAGGGCTATAGGAATGCCGGGATGGTCGGTCCCTGCTCAAACCTTCGGCCATCTGCCCGAGAGGGTCCGATTCAAACAGTCAGCTCGGGTGAAGTTCGTTACCTCGTGGCACGCCTGCTCGAGGCTTGCGCAGCGGAGACCCATGCCAAGAAACAGCCTGCTTGCCTCCAGGGTGCCCTGGGTTCCTTGGGCTTCGATGGTTTGACTGTGGGAAGCGTGACGTCCCCACACTAAAAATCGATGGACGACCTGGGGTCTCAGGGTTGGGTTTCTTGTGGAAGGTTTCTTGTGGTCGAGCTCCCACTGTAAGGACATGACTCGCAAAATCAGCAGGCGCTGGCGGGTAGGGGCGGCGTCATCTGTGTGCGCGGGCCGCTGCTCGACGTTGTGGGCCCGTGCCTGCCCCCCGCGTCCTGGAGCCTTTGGGAAGGCCACCACGGACCCGTTTCGCCTCGCCGCGGGCCTCTCCAGCCTCATTGGCGTCGAAGAAGAGCCTGGGAAGCGTACGGCTCCAGCACGCCGGAACTCGGGATCGCCGACGTTTACTTTGACGAGCGCGTCCTGGGTTTTGATAGGTGGCCACATTTGATGGTCCGGTTTCGTGGGATGTCTGCAGCGGGAGCTCGTCAAGTTTCGGATCGAGTCTCGTGATTTTTATGATGACTCCGTCAGGCCAACCCGAGTCCCCCGTACCCGAGTGTTACGTCTGCCCGAAAGAAGAAGAAGCGGCGCAAACATACACTCTCATTGTGATATTCCAACCCACTTTAGCCTCGGTCACCAGAGAGAATTTCGAGCGCCAGGAGAGTACCGAAACCTGAAGGTGCTCACGTACCAGGCCCTGGGAGTCGATGCCCGTTCGACATTTCGCTAGCGTGTCGGGCAGACACGGTTTCGATTCTTTTCCGGGTGCTCGAAATTATTTCTGGGAGGCGGCCTTTGAGTATGATGAGAACAGCATATTATGCTGTTCTCATCATACTCTCAGAGCTCCGCGCGGAGTTCTTGGATCTGCGCTTGGGCCACCGCGGCGGCGCCTCCGGCGCCGCCCCTGGCGCGCCCCGCGCGTCAGCGAGGGGGGCTTCAGCGCAGACCCAAGAAATCCGCGTGGATCTCCAAACGTTTGTTCCTATGCAGTTGCCCATCTTCTTTGACGGGCTCCATCGGGATCGGTGCACTCCATGTGAAAACGGGGCCGATATGCCCAGTCGTGATTAGTTCACGGCGCCATGGCGATCTCGTGGCGTCGGGCGTTTGGGCGCCCGGTCGCCTCAGGTGATCGAGAAGACGATCGAGGTGCCAAAGATCCAGATCGAGGACGCGCGATTCGGTTGTTTTGGCACCGTGGCGGGAGCAAGGTCGAGCTCCAGGTCGAGGTCGGAGGACGGAGGAGGGATGCAGGAGAGGGAGTGCAGAATCGGGGAGGCGAGTGCTGAAAGAAGTCAATCGGGTTTCCGAGGGGGGGGCATTGGTAGCAAATCATGGGAGCCTTGCATACCCTCGTCATTCCATCTTTAGAGTGCAGTACCGTCGATCGTATAGCGTATGGTAGTCGATGAGGTAGCGCTGATTTGCTTCGACTCGCGTCGATAAGCGTCTATTGAGTGTCGACCAGCGTGAATTAGCGTCGATTTCGCAAGAGCCAATCAGATGGTATGGGAGGCTTCCATGAGTTGCCACCGAAGGGCAGGCTCCCGAGTCGCACCGCGGGTTCTTCGTCAGGGCCGCCAGGGGGCCGATTCTTGGGGGGACGATGACACAGAAATGGGGACGATTCTTGGGGGGACGATTCTTGGGGTTGGGGTCGAGAGTTCCAGGGGCCGGCGGTCCCGAAGGAATCGAGGCGGAGGTCCAGATATGGAATGTATTCTTGGTATTGTTGCTGTTTCCTCGCTGTCGCCGCCGCCGCCTCCTCGCAGCCTTCCTGCGCCTCCTCCTCAATGTCCTCCCCCGCCTCCTCATCCGTCCCCTTAACCGCCTCTTTCTCCATCTCCTCCTCCTCCTCCTCGCCCCCCGACGGATGTTGCGCATGAGACTTGGATCGGCACGGATACAAGCGTCAGTCGCCCGAGACGATACAGGATCTGTTACGTAGCAGCAACACTCAACAGGGCACGTTTGGCTCGGAATGATTGGTTGCATGGGTGCCCCCCATTAAACAATCCGAATATTGTTCCGAAAGAGCATGTGGCAGTTCTGGTTGGGAGTATGCAGGTAATGTGCACACGGAAGGAAAGCTCGATGGCCGCATATACACGATTTTGGTTGGTCAGATTGATTAACGCGCCTGGTTTCTTCACCAGCCCATCCAGCAACGATGCCCATGCGATATTCATTGATGAGGAGGGAGTGGGGACATTAGTGAAACCAAGAAGCGGGACAGCTGTCACACCGAAGATGGGGATTAGCTTGGGCATGCCCAGGAGTCGACCACAGATGCATTCGCGGATCTTTCGATCGGTCAGTTTGTTGGCAGTTGACGTGGGCCATATTGGGGACATTCGGGTAGCTTTTGGTGTTCTCTTGGAGTCCTAGTGGTGCTCGGTTTGTCCCAGCCCCGGGTCGTTGTGCTTCGATTCGATGAGGGTCGGGTTGGCCTCGTCTCGGTTCGTATTGTTTTGGTTCGTCCTGTGTCGGTTCGTCGCGTCTCGGCTGGCCGCGTTCTTGTTCGTCCATGGTCGGTACGTTTGATCTCGGTTCGGGTTCGCCACTGCGGGGTCGTCCCGCTTCAGAATTGAACCGGGTCTCAAGTTCGAGTTGGCTGAGCGCCCCGCATTTTCCGAACGCAGCCAGCTCTGGGCGAGCTATGCCTTCAGGCACTTCTATTCAGACCAGTTCGGTCAGGATTCGAATGCAAAGAATGGTTTGGTCCACAACGCAATAGAACAGCGCACAATTCAAAGCGACATGGCAGATCTCAATTCAGCGTGGCTCAGAAAAGCACAGCCCCTGGCGTGGTTCATCGCTGTCGATTCGGCCAGCGTTGCAATCGCACGTCGCCCTGCCAGGTGTCTTGCTCTCGTTCCCATGCTTCATATTTCTATGACCCTTTCCGTGGTAGTGAGTCGATCATGTTTTGCGCAGCTTCGCCTGTGGGGGTTGTTCGCACCAGTCCGTCCTCGACAACGCCGTCCAGAAGAGAAACGCCCTGCAACGTGAGCGCAATGCAAGAGGAATTTGGCAATCCCTTGGAGAGATGGCTGCGGAGTTTCACCATGTATGCTCGCACGTCTGGAATGGAACATCTGAACGCCATGTTTCGATTGGAATTTCGCGTCCTTTTGTTGTTTCAGTTTTAGAACGTGCCTGCTGAGAGTTTCAATGTGGACATCAAGTGCTACATGTTGGCCAGCGTTGACCCAAAGCGGCAGGCTTGTTGAAAGCGCAGTTTTGAATCCGGGTGCCATCGTTTTCTGGGGGACGTGCTGTTGTGTTTTCCCCTCCGCATCTGGCGCGCGCTTCTTTTGAGCGGTCGCCCCGCCAGGCTGCGGGGGCCCTCGGTTAGCTCATGGGCCTCCTCCCGCTCCCACTTCTTGCCGTCCCTCGCCCGTCCTCCGGAGGATCGAGGCACGACGCACCGGGACAGCAATACGAACCGAGCGTGCGCGGAGTGGTGGTCATCATGGGAGCGGGCATGCGTTTCACAGGCCTGGATCGACGATCCTCCCGTCGAGGCCGCGGTCTCCAGGCCACGCCTTCATGGGCACGGGCGGGCTCCCCAGAGGAGCAGGCAGGGCGCCAGCGCTCGCTCGTTCCTCCCGAGGATCGGGGATGCGGCTTCTGTTCAATTTGTTCCGCCGCGAGCGCCCTTCGGGCTCGCGGGGCGGCCAGGGTAGCAGTCGCGGGGCGGGCGCGCGCGCGTGCTCACTGTTTTCCTCTCCGTTGTCGCAGTTGCCTTCGTTGTCAATGGCTATCGTGAAATCGGGCCTGTCCCTCTACAGAAGGAATATTCACAAGTAGTTCAACAATCATTTTGGTACTTTCTTTTGACTATGTTTCTTTACTATTTCTGATTTTTAGGGTCGTACAACATCCCCCTGCATGAGGACATGCCCGACCTAAGGCCATCGGGGGGTTTGGGGGCTGAGGTCGCAGTGGAACGGAGAGCCCCCCGCCGGGAAATCGGTCTCGGTTTCGTGTTCGTGTCGCGCGTGCGGGCGAGGCGACGCTGCGTGGGCGCGCGAGACGAATGGCCCCGCCGTCGCTAGGGCGATTCGGATGCAGTGGACCGCCCCTCCGCCCCCGGTGGGCGCGCGGTGGCCCAGGGTGTCCCAACGTGGTGTCCTGTGGTGTCCCGTTGGGGTCCCGTCGGTGTTCCGTCGGTGGTGAACGGGCAGTGGCCGTGGGTGTCCGTCCCGCCTTGGTATCGGTTGGTGCTGTCGGTAGTGAAATCGATACTCATATCGCTAGAATGGGATGGATACTGAGATTAATCGTGAGATCCTCAGGGGCCTTCATTGTTGCATTATCTGTGAAATCGAAAGTGGGTCGAGAGCTAGACTGATGTGTGGAATCGATCGTCGCATCCGTAATTGTATCGACAGCGATATTTATCGCGATATCGATCGTGAGATATGTAGTGGTGTCGGTCGAGTGTGAGCGATCTTGCGAGGTTGATAGTGACATCGATCGAGTGACATCCAAAGCGGGGGCCGACAGTGACATTACATCGCAACGCAACGTCGTCATCACGCGTAGTCGCTAACGCGAGGGCGCGTCACCATTCTCGTCATCATCACACCCATCGCATTTGCCAGCTGTTGCTCCCCCCCACCCCACCCACCCAACCTCCTTACCACCTGAAAGGTGGTTTGTGTAAGTATGTCTGTGTATATAAATACAAGCAAATATATATATATATATATATATATGTATATAGATCAGAGTGAGGGGGCTGAACCGAACGGTCATTCACAGTCCCTGTGCTCGTGGCTGAAATGGAATTCAGCGATGCGGATTCTCTCTGTTGTTGTTGTTGCTGTTGGTGGTTGTTGGTTATTGTTTGTTGTTTGTTGTTTGTTGTTTGTTGTTTGTTGCTTGTTGCTTGTTGTTTGTTGTTTGTTGTTTGTTGTCTGGTGTTTGTTGTTTGTTGTTTGTTGATTGTTGTTTGTTGTTTGTTGTTTGTTGTTTGTTGTTTGTTGTTTGTTGTTTGTTGTTCGTTGTTTGTTGTTTGTTGTTTGTTGTTTGTTGTTGTCGTCGTTCCACCCGCGACCCGCCCCGCGACCCACCCGCGACCCACCCCGCGACCCGCCCCGCGACCCACCCGCGACCCACCCCGCGACCCACCCGCGACCCACCCGCGACCCACCCCGCGACCCACCCGCGACCCACACCGCGACCCACACGCAACCCACCTGCGATCCACCCGCGACCCACCCCGCGACCCGCCCGCGACCCACCCAGGGACCCCCCTGGCGACCCACTCGCGACCCACCCGCGACCCACCGGCGACCCACCCGCGACCCACCCGCGACCCACCCCGCGACCCACCCAAAATTTTCGGCGCCTGCGGCGGGCTTCTTTTGCATTCGTTCCAGGTGGAGAACTTGCGACCCACCCGCGACCCAAACCGCGCTCGTGACCCACCCGCGAACCACCCCGCGACTCACCCGCGACCCACCCGCGAACCACCCCGCGACCCACCCAAAATGTTCGGCGCCTGCAGCGGGCTTCTTTTGCATTTGTTCCAGGTGGAGAACATGCGACCCACCCGCGATCCAAGCCGCGTTCAGTGTACAAATCGAAATTTTCGGCGCCTGCGGCGGGCTGTTTTTGAATTTCCTCCAGGTGGAGGTGGAGAGCCCGCGACCCACCCGCGACCCAAACTACGTTTTTGAACAAGCCAAAACTTCGGCGCCTGCGGCGGGTTTGTTTTGTATTCGTTCCAGGTGGATAGCCTGCGACCCAAACAGCGTTCAGTGTACAAATCAAACTTTTCGGCGCCTGCGGCGGGCTGTTTTTGCATTCGTTCCGAATGGCACCCTGTGCGTCCTGTTAGGATAGGAGGAGGAGGATGAGGAGGAGGAGGAGGAGAAGGAAGAAACGGAGAAAGAGGAGGAGGTGGAGGAGGAGGCGGACGACGACGACGACGACGACGATGAGGTCGAGCACGCGGACGAGGAAGAGGAGGAGGAGCAGGAGGAGGAGGAGGAGGAGGAGGAGGAGGAGGGCGCCATCGACAGGGAAGGTGAGGGCCACGGGGTCCGCCGGCTCGACGCCCGCGTCGCCCGCGCCCGCCCCCTCACTCTTATCCGCAATTGCGGGGTGCTGCGTATGTGTGTGTACACACAATACTTGTACGTATGGGGAACTTGGCCGCCTTCAAAAGCGAAAGGAGGGAGGCCCATGCCACCATAGAGGGAGGTGTTTGGTCCAGAGGCCTTTTCGACTTCTAAATCCAAGTCACCTGTTGGTCCTAGTTCGAGCCAACACGCTGGTGCCACAGCGTCGTGTCAGCGGGGCCGCCGCACTGCGAATCTGGTTCAGCGACAGGCTGCACAGCTATAGATGTTCCATGAGGACAGTTTGACTCCGTGTGCGTGAGTATCCCTCCTCCTGTTCCTCGTCCTTCCTCTCTTCCACCGCCGCGTCCTCACCCCTCCTTCTTCCCCCTCTCCCCCCCTTGCGTCTCCCCTTCCTTCCGCCCGCCCCCACTCCCCCCCCCTCCCCAGCACCCAAGTGCCGGCCAGAGCCTCAGAACCCACCCAGTGCTTTTTGACATCGCCCTTGTGGACTCTTCCTCCGCCCCTCTATCCCCCATCCTTCTAGAGGCCTCAGCAGAGCAGATACCCGCTGAACACCACGATCTGCCCTCTGCGATCGCCTTCCTCGCACCTCCTCCCTCATCCCACCCCGTTCTCATCCGCCCCTTGCGCTTCCGCCTCCTCCGCGCGCGCGATCTCCAGAGCTCCTCCCCAGGAGAAGATCATCAGAAGGCCGAAGATCACCGAGACAATTGTGGATACCATCGTTCAGAACCAGGCGCTCACCCGACCCGGGCGGCCAGCGGGGGCTGCCTCTCTAGTCAGAGTTGCGCCCTGCCAAGCTGAGCCATTTTGGAGGTCAGCTTGGGCTTTCCGAGGCGCTCTTGGAGCCGTCTTGGGCCATCTTGGACGCTCCAACCCCTAGCGGACCCCCCCGTTTAAGTCCAGGGGAGGGGGTAAGGGGGAGGGGTGAACCCTTCCCAGAAGGGGAAGAAGGCGGTTGGAAGAGAAAGCTCTCTAGACCACATAAGCCCAGAGGGCTGGTGGGATTGGAGAAAGAGGGGGAGGAGGAAGAGGAGCAGGGGATGAAGAGTATACGAAGCATACCAAATTTGGCTCATTGTTCCGCTGCCCCGCAAACTTAGCCACCCAGCAGGGACGCCAACTGCTGGGCCACCACCGTACACGTCACGGACTCGTCACACAACAGGAGTGATGTGTACGATGTCGATGCACCGCGAACCACGATCACACAATTGCCCATTGAGACAAACGTGCCGACAGATCAGCACGATGACTCAACTTAAAGTGTCGTTGCACCGCAAGCGTCGTTCCACACAATTGCGATGTCACACATAAATCACCGTGCTGCGTACACTGCCGTTGCACCTCGAACGTTGGTCGTACAACGCAGAACAGGAACATTCTTGCACTGAACAGCGTACGGGTATATGATGTGGGAGCAGCGTAGCTGCCAGCATCGAGCATTCAGCAAAGCTGGAGGCCTAACAGCAGCGTAGCTGTCATAAGAATTACACAGCGTAGCTGACAGAAAATGTGCAAAATGTGAAAACGGCCTTCGGCCCATACTGCGACCGTCCCTGGGTTGTGGGTCAGAGTTCTCAGGGATGCTTCTTCGGGTCTCTTCGGAGCGCTCTCGGGGCCCTCTTGGGAGCAGTTTGGGGGGCCTCGTGGGATCCTAATAGGGGCATCTTGGGGACGGACCTCGTAAGGGCCTCTTCAGGGCCTCTTGGGGGCCTCTTGGGGACCTCTCGGGACCTCCTCGAGGCCCCTCGGGGCCAAGGGCTCGAAATGCCCGGATTCCCCATCTGGGCCCCCTCTTGGGGCCGTCTTTGGGCCCTCTCGGGGCTTCTTGGGCACTCTCGGGCGCCGCTGGGGTGGTCTTGGGGCGCTCTTCGGCCGTCTTGGGGCCCTCTTGGGGGCCTCTGGGGCCGTCTTAGGGGTGACCCTGGGGGTCTCGCGGGCCGTCGTAGAGCGTCGGGAATCCGAAAAAGCGAAAACGCCCAAAGTGTGTGCCTCTTGAGGCCCTCTCGGGAGGCCTCTTGGATGCCTCTTTGGGCGTCTTGATAGCCTCTTGGGCCGTCTTAGGGCCATCTTGGGCGTCTTGGACTGATCGTTCGGCGACTCGGACCTTCTTGGGCCGTCTTGGACGCCTCTTGGGACCCTCTGGGTCCATCTTGGGGAACTCTTGGGCCCGAAAAAGTTATTCGGAAAGACGCGACAAGCCCCCGAGAAGACGCGCCAAGCCCCGGTAGGTTTGGTAATTTGGGTCCTGGCCCCTCAAGACCCTTCAGAAGTTAGGATTGAGGCTTAGTTGGTTGGGCCCAGGACCTGAGGACATGCCCACTCCGTGCCCAGCTGCACGGTGGCGGATCTGTTGGCAGCGTAGTTGTCAGGTGTCACACCAGCAGCGTAGTTGTCTGAATAATCAGTGGTACACACGCAGGCACATGGCGAACACAGATGGCGCACCTTACAGTCAACTTCAAAACTGAAATTATCCGAGTGCTGCGTACGGTGTTCTTGAGCCGCCAACGTCGGTCACGTAATGCGAGTTTAGTGCCGCGTTAGAGGCCTCCAATTTTGAAACGAGCTATGAGTCACCCTCATGATTTTCGGGCATACAGCTCTGCACAGAACTCATCGTGCTGCTTACGATGTCCTTGCACCACGACGTCGATCACACAACACGGAGTGCATGCATACAATGCAGCGTGGTTGCCTCATAGTATAGAACGTATCGTAGCTGGCAGTATATCCTAAACTTGGCAAGCTGGAGGAAAACAAACATCTTCGCTCCGACAGTGCAGCGCAGCTGTCAGCACATGAGAAGACAAACGCGTGCGTAAATAGGAAATTGAATACTTCTGAGGAGCGCACGATCACGCCGAAGCCGCTCCCCACGGTGTTGATAAGTGTGGCGTGGCGGGCGCAGGTTGGCGTAGGGCATACAGTGTTGCGAGTGCAGGCTTGTGCAAAGAAGAGGCCCGCCGAGCCGAGTTGTATGGGGGAGCTGTCCGCGAACCACGCTCCAGGCAGAGCAGACCGTCGACCACAAGCTTCAAAAGGTCATATCACGACACATTGCGCAGCTGTCTGACGCATGTCTGGACAGCGAGTCGACGCAACATGCTCCCGCACATCGTGTCGGACGGCGTCGGCGAGTTCGAATATGTTGCCAGACAGGTACGCACTTATTTCTGAGTTGGTTTGCGATGTCTGACCGATGTGCTGTCAAACAACTTTAATAAATGCATACTTCCGTAACTATTCCGCTCAACACGTATTCAGTCTTCACAGAATACATGAATCTTCTTAGAGTATCTGTAATTATCTATTGCTCGACTTGCCGGGATGGCGGCGACTAGGATTCGGAAGGTGTTGTTGGCCGTATATGTGGTTGTGCTATTCGCCCATGGCGTTTCCCTCGTGACTTTTGTTACGGTGCAGGTGGGAGGAACGACCACCGCAACGCCGTCTCCCTCATCCGTCTCCCCTCAGGACATCAACCACCGCAACGCCTCGCTCACGAGAACCCATAAGCAGGCCTCAATTTATGCTTCGATTCTGACGTCGAACTATTGTGGACATGTGGATGGCGGCTGCCCTCTTCGATGTTTTCCAGGCAACGGCTTTTATTTTACTTTCCAAGAATGCCAGGATCGCTCACAGAGCTGGCGTGGTGTATCGGTTTCTCGCACGAGCCAGGCCAATGTGTTTTCACGTCTACGATAGACCCTTGCCCTGCGTATACGGACATTTCCGGGCACGTTGCAAGCGTGGTGTCAGATTTGGTGCCCAGTGGTTACAATGGACTTCATTGCTACGGGAAGGCGGCTGCCGCGACGCCCGCAACGACGCCGGCGACGCCATCCCCTGTATTTTGCAGAACATCCACGGGGAGAGGTTCGACCTGATGAAGCAGGGCAACTTCACGCTCATCCAGAGTCCTCGCGGAGTGCCCGTGAAGGACAGTATGCTCACCGTCGAGGCCGACGCTCGCCGTTTAGGCGGGTCTTGCGCTGAGTCGTACTTGCAGGCCGTCAGCATCACGGGCAAATGGGCGAGATCGGACATTCACTTCAAGGTTGGGGATTCGCCCGACAAGCAGCCCACGTGGTTGCATTTCGGACCGGTCGAGATGAACGTTGCCCACGGACAACCGGAGAAGGGCCAGAAGTACCCAAATTTCTTCGTCAAGCATTTGGGGCGCGCAAGCGCTACTGTCGGAGGGCTGCTGGGAGAAGATGACCACGCCGAGGTAGCGATTCCGAACGCGAAGTGCTTCATGACAGTATCGCTTGCAGAGCAAGCGAGGTGGAGCACGTCATAGCTCCAATACGGCTAGTGGCGATCGCAGCTCTGTGAGTCGAGGTGCCACTCCTTCCTCGGCTTATACCTGCCTTCTCTAGGCGCGCGCACTCACATCCAGTTGGCCCGCTGCGTCTAATGACGTGATTTCGAACTGCCGGCTTCCTTATTAAAAGAAAACCATCTCGAACCGCACGTTGCGATGGTTGCGCCATTTTTGTTTTCTGCGTGCAGGACACACGAGCCAACATGTCGTCGGGAAACAAGCTTTGCTAAATGAATCCTGACAGCTACGCTGTTGTCTGCGTATCACAGATTCGGTGCACATTTCATGTTGTGAGTGCAACTGTTTGCGACTTGTACGTTTATTCGCTCAGACCTCCCATTGCTTTGATTGCGCTTTTTATGCAACTTGATTTGTCATTGACCGATACATTGTTCGCATGTTGCGTTCGAACAACTACGCTATGTAATTATCACTTGTCTGGCCAGACTTGTTTCGTTACAGGTGAAGTCTTGTACATCGTGGTTTACGCCATGCGCCCACTTACGCCCAAATACTCCACCACGCCAGCACCAGAACGGTTGATTTCGTTTCGGCGTCAACGGTTGTTGTTCTGATTTTTGGTTTTACTTGCACGGGCTCCACCATTACAGGTTGAGTGCTTTGTTGATGTGTAAAGTGCTGACTGTTGCACCGAATAGTTGTGGTTGTTCGATTCGTTCTGTTTCCGACAGCTTCGCTGATCGTTATTCCAATGATTGGGCGTCTTCGCGATGATCATCTGGCCGAAGTGCTGAACGACGTAGTGCGGCACCATCGCTGCCAACATGGCTACGCACGTTTGCGCAACGCTCCGACAACGTAGTCTGCGCGTGATTTTTTCACCGGTGGTTTGCACTCCTCTGCTAGTTTCTCGCTTTTTATAGTTCAAGAGGAACTGGAGGAAGAGGGCAGGGGGAGTGAAGGAAGGTGAGCAGAAGCATCAGGAGCAAGGGGAGGACGAGGAACACGACGAGGATCAGGAGGATAACGACGAAATGGGCGGAGGCGGAGTGGAAGGAGTGGAGATATGAGGGAGGGGAGGGCGGACATGGGGGAGGAGTGCAGGGGGCTGGCGGAGGAGGTACGTGGCTGACGGGGGTAAGGATGAGGAATTTTTATGCCAGGAGGACGGGGATGTTGCTGGCCAGGGCCAGCCTCCCGGCGAGGTTCAGACCATCGAGGTGATCAAGCCGAAGATTGTCCAGAAGATCGTGACGCGAAGGAAGCCCGTCATCCAGGAGACCATCAGGCAGGTCCCCAAGGCGAGCGACAGAGGAAATCGGAGGCGATGGCGTGGCCACTCGCGCGTGAGGTCTCCGCGCAAGGTCGCGCGCATGTGCCCCGCTCTTCTTCGCGCGGTGTTCCACGTTGGAGGCCCGCGCAACTTG